CCATGCAATAGTACGGCTCACTAACGTTTTTGTGTGAATTCCAACCCTGACGAAAGCCTGTTACTGTGTGGCACAGGGCATCCTGTCGGTAATGAAAGCTCTTCCGCCACTTTAATTGTGGGTAACATCGCGAAAGAACGTGGACAGGAAGGAGTTGAGTAAGTTCGAGGCGACACCGGAATCTTTCGTGCGCCGTGGGTGTTTTCCGCAGCGGCGGCAATGGCAGCGTGGCGCGAGTAGTGCGGGGCGGGAATGAGGCGGTGAGCGGGGTGGGCGCGGGCGGCGGCGGTGGGCTGGGGCGGGGGCGGGAACGGGGGAACCGGTGTACATGTGGAGCCGCATCGAGTGACAGAAGCCGACGCCGGGCGCGTTGTAGAAGTCCACGAACGCTGCAGAGGCGTGGGCGAGCGGGGCGGGGGTGGGGTGGGGGGAAGGAGCGGGACGGGCCGAAGGGGAGGGGGGCGCCTCTCGTCAGTGGAAACTGTGTAGATTCGCATCGGCGGCCGCTAAGCCGCGTGAACGCGCGTGCACATGCGCCCACGCGTCCAGACACACACGCGCGCGCGCGCCTCGAACGGCGCGCGTGTTGCGTGGCGGCCAAAACGAGCGGAGGGCGGGTGGTGGGCGGAGGGCGAGCCTCAATGACGGACGTGATGGGTGGTGAGACATACGCCGAGGAGGTTTCGCGCAGCCGAATTTCCTATACAATAATAATAGTAGTAATAATAATAATAATAATAGTAAAAGTAATAATAATTATTATTATTATAATTCCATCTTGTTTTGCAGAGATTATTTACATTTTAGTTTCTTGGAAATACTAACCTGCGATAACCAGTTGTGATAGTTAGCAATTTTTTTTGTATCTGGCTTCTTCTCCATATTACATTTTACAAGGCTCGATAAACATTTCTTATCATCAATAGGCGAAGTTAGAGACGTGCCTCCCTAAGTTTACACCATTGAAATAAACAATTTAAAAAATAAATATTACCGACGAAAACGTTTTTAATATTGTGGAGAATAGAGATATATTTGTATTTATTTTTACTTATTTGTTATTTATGTCACAAGGCGCATTTATATGTATCTACTATTAAAAGGCGTAAAGCAGTAGTTAAAAATGACATGATTCATTGTCTCTATTCTATGTCTCTATTTACTTTCTATTTTCTTTCCTTGTATAAGTCTATAGAAGCTGCCGGTGACGCTTGTCGCTCTACTGTGCAACATTTACTGTGTATCACGATATCATGGCAATTGACCCACTCAGCAATCAAACTTGACTTCTGGATCTCAGCGTGTCAAATAACTGCAAATAATTGCTACATAATTTACAAGCAAATACACATTACACATAATGTTGCGGTCGACGGAAATACAGCCACGTTTTTAGAGATATTAACGAAATATTATTGGTATTGTTATCCTTAAGTGTTTATTACATTTGGTTGTAATACATTTAAAAAAATTGTCTTTTGGTACTCTTCAATGTTTCTTTAAACATACTTTTCTAAATTTCTGACTAAATTGTAGATTTATTCGAAGTGATGAAAGAAATATGCTCTTTGAAACATGTTTCCCACATAGTATGTTTTTAAAATTTTGTGTAATTTCCTGTTTAATTTCTGTGCTTATGATACATCTCTTTTCGTGTGTTGTGTAAAATGTACCTAAATGTGTTTCTCAAAATATACCTAAAGTTCGGTACATTCTGAGTTCTTGTGCAATAGTTTCCCGAGGACTGGTCCCATAGCCAAGTGTTCTTCAGAAAATATTGACAAAGAACATACATTTCATGTTTAAAATCAATTTCATTTATTCAGTTTGGTGCGAAATAGCGTCTTGTAACTAATGAACAGAGTAATCATGAATAGTATTCCACTAAAATAATTCACAAGGAATCTACCACTCTCTTGAAGTAACTATACGCCACTCAGCGGAATTTTCATTCAGTGTGAATTTATATTATTTCATTTTGTTGTTAGGAATATTTAAAGAGGCTGATATTAACCAGTCATTGTAGGGACAATGCTGATATCAACCAATGCCTCCCAGAAATGGCAAGACGATATAATTTCCGAGATGGAGATATTATAATAGATCACACGTTACACACCCTACTGTTTTGTTGGAATATTAATAACATTATTTTCTTTCAATAAAATGTATTAACTAACGAGTCAGTAACTTCAATAATTATAGGTTTTTACATAGTTTACCTCGATTCTTAGACCAAATGCCGACTTGTAGCGTCTGGGCACGTAGCTTTTATCCTTAACGCAAATTCGAGTCAAAAATAGTTTTTTGACACAGTGGTACAATTTCCGGCGAACTTACGTAAAACATCCGTTTTGTTCTTGCAAATTCATATATTTGTATTTTCCATTTTTTAATGATTATCGTTTCATACGTTATAATTCATAAATTTAGTCACAAATGTTATTTACCTTTTAATTTTGTTGCTATTTGTAAGTTATTTAATAAATTTGTTCCTGGCACTCATTTCAACTTTTTAATTTCCAAACTGTTTGTTAGAAAATATTTTCTTAATGTTCTCTCAACGACTACACTATATACACGACACATATGTTAAGGTGCCACGTTTCTTTTCATCAGTACAGAAGTTAAAGGAAATTAATATTGGTATTATTCAATACTGTTGACCTTTTTCTGAAATATATTGTATTCAGAACTAGATTGAAATGTAAGATGTGACACATTTTTTCATTGATTTTTATAAAGTTCGCATTATAAAGAATACGTGAAATATTTATCTCATTGGCTTTTGCATCTTTATCTGATTACCTATTGCAAGGGTTTGTTTATATTGAATCCGACGAGCTATGTACATTGTTTTTGCGAGTTAGAAGTAAACTATTTTAAATTCGCTTTATTTTTCAATGAAATAAAACCAAAATGTATTTATTTTCTATGTACTGAACATTTTTATTGCACAATGTGCGTAAACACGTAGCTGCCCTAAATGTCCTTGTTCAGTTTATTCGAATTACATCGCTTATTACTCTCAGGTCACGTACGCAAACACTACTTACGTAAAACAATCCCGTTTGAACCTTTATTCGTTGAATTTGACGTGTTCAGGTTGGAATATACTCAGTGGATTTAGGGCAGTATTTTATGATCCCGTATTCTGTGTATTTAACATTCCTCTAATGCACCACTTTGACAAACAGCTTCTCGCACGGATGAAGCCAGTGAAGCATAACTAATCGCTGTCATAAATATATTCCGGGAGAAAGTTCCGGGACGCGGATGTCACGGTGGTATTAGACGTGGTTGTGAGAACACTCACACACACACACACACACACACACACGCGCGCGCGCGCGCGCGCGCGCGCATGTGTACATGCACTCAATCTAGGAAATTTATTCCTAGGGATAACTGCCTATTAAATAAGGGCGGTTATGCACTATTACTAGGTATATTAATATTACTGACAAGTATGTATTGCTTATTGTATTTATTTTGTTACTTTTAAACCTGATGGGATGCTGTAATGACCTATTATGATATGTCGAAATATTTGTTTAAAGTTTAGGTCGTGGCGTTTCCTCCAATTCTAGTGTATTCTCATGCACTCTTATAATTGATAGAATTTAACATTTTTATCGCATTCTTATAAAATAATTCTACTTCCTTCTTATAGTGCTAGCTATTATTTCAATAACGTGGTGGCAGTTCATGTCACGAGTTTATTTTCCTTTGAAAGATGTGAATACAAGTGTTGAGCCAGTGCATCAATTACACTTGAAGTGCGAAAATCCTGTGAAATGTTGAACTTCTGCCAACGTTTGAGCATTAAGCTTACAATTGTCGAACTTTACACTAAATAAAAAAGGGAATTGATGTGTCCTTTGAAATTTTTCAATGAAATTGATTCACTTTTATTTTGCTGCAACGCATATCGTAGTTACTCTTGGACTCTTCCTGTCACCTAGACAAGTTCAAATAGGAGTTTCATTGAACAAAATTAGTCAATAAGTGGCAGAAAGCACAAAATTAAGGAAAAGTAAACGAAGTTCAATTTACAAGAGCAAAAGAAACCCATGAAATAAAATATTGAAGACAGAGCACCACACACTGCTAAAAGCAATGGACCATCGCTTCGGGTCATTTCTGGCGAGCTCTCGGAGTATGGACGCGCAGGTACTTGCCGCGCTCGCCGCTCTACTGGTTCTCGGAATCCGACGGGCGAGTGGTGACCGGCCGTCGCGTCGGCTGCCATTGTTTGCGTAGCGCGCGGCGTTGCCCGACGTTGCTTGCTCGTAGTGCTTTCAATGGATTCCGGAAATTTGTGCTACCCTCTCCAGCATCATGTTTACTGTCTACTATCACCAAGTAACCATGCAATTAAATTAGCGGCGAGAAAACGGCTTTGCACCCATGCAGCAAAAGAAATAAGGACACTCTAATGAAGAGGAAGATCTGGAAAGAACGCGAGAACTTCGTGGTCCTTTTTGAATAAAAAAAATAATAAAAAATAAAAGTTTTGCTATTAAAAATCTTTTAAAAAAATGTTAATTTGGAAATATGAATTGGAATGTAATAAGTAAAAACTCACAACAACCGCATACATACATTAAGTTAAGAAAATAAATGTTTTAAGCCGTAAATAAATAATGATTGAATAAATGTTTGGTTTAAAATAATTATTCAGTGAAGGGACTAAAATAATAAGTGAGGAAATTAAATTGCATACTAATTCAACAGAGTAATAGTTGTAAAAACCTTAGAATAGTGAGTGAAAGACAGCCTTAGGAATTCGCCAAGAAGGGAGTGTCATTTATTTTAAGAATGTTTCATTTAAAATACACTGTCAAGAAGCCCACTCCCAACCTGATGAATAGCATAATTTCTAAAAGAACTCGCAGATATAAAGAATGTAGGCTTTCACGGCTCGAATCACTATTCAAATTACCAATCTGGATGGCCGTGTAACCAGAGAGCTGTCTGGAAGTCATTTGCCACTGATGATGCCTGCCGCAAAGGAAGAGAAACGTCTGGGAACAGAACTTCTACATAGAGCACGGCCGTTCAGCCCAGAAAGTAATTGTTAAAAGAATCCGCAGACATGTTTATTCAAACGAGACAAAGTTGCCCCAAGTGAGGGGTTTCGGTGGCGGCAGCGTGGGCGCAGTGAGGGGGGGGGGCGCGTAAACGGTCGCCGCTCCCAACCTCCACACCGGCTTAGGTGGCTCAGGGCATCACCTGATGCCCTTGTAGTGCCCCTCCCGGGTGTCCTAGGGTTCCAGTTCCGACGGTAGCACGATTTTCGACACGATTACCTACATAAATGAGTCGAATTCAGTCGCTGTCAGGAGGAGAATTCTAGCGGCCGGCTGCTCCGATCGGTAGTTCACAGTTCTCCGATCAACACCAGGCAAATGTCGGATCAGTACGCTAACAAACGGACTGCGCGCAATCTTTCCTTCCTTTTCTTTGTCTCATTCTCACCCCCCAGCTTGCACACAAGACGTGTCGATAGACCAGGCTAGAGCTTAGAATTTGACCCGGTTATGACTTTGCCCCGCTGGTGGAATATATCTGGTTGGGGAGAATCTCGCTAGCCACGTGTAGGTCGGCGCCAGATTTCACCTTCGAGGTGAGGAAGATCACCGCCACGCCTCGAAGAAAAAACACGCACTACACTTACGGGATTAATGACCTTATCACTTGTCGCGTGACCTTAGCACTTGACGGAACCCGAAATAATCAATCATAGCCAACGGTCGTCTGTGCTCGACTGGAGACAACAAGCTGCAGAAAGCACTCGGGCGTCCACTGCTCGATAGCAGATAGCCGGTCGGCCGCGGGCGTTAGTTTTTCCACAGAATGCACAGCTCTCATTGAAAACGCTTCAAGTTTCTTTTCGTTGACAGAAACCGTAGTACCGAAGACACATTAGTTCCTCGGACGAACACAATAGGAGCAATAAGCACATTATTAATCAGCTTATCAGTCATGTAAGATGTAGTGAAGAGAGAAAAACAGAATCCAGAATCCGACATTCTTATGATGGTACAATGGCTTTCATTTGCTCAATGGTGTTATCTCTGTTTTTCTACGTGAAGTAAGATCTTCGTTGTAAAGAAAAACGTAACGAGAAACGTGCAAATAGCTGATAGTAATAAAGATAAAATATGTCAAACATCCTCAAAACATTGTCTACAATGTAATACATGGATAGTACATTATTTAAGCTCAGTGTAAAGAGGACTGGATGAGAATATTAGATTTTTGGAAAACACGGTGATATTAATAGTCTTACGACTTCATCGAACTCGACCATATTCTGTCTCACTTTCAGATCAAGAAATATTCTTAATTACTTGCAATATAAAATTCAAATACTTTAATATTTACCGCTAGATTCTTCTCTACACATGTTAATTTAATTATTTGGAATCTTAATTTATAATTTCGAAATAAAGTTTCCATTTTTTCTAGGCAGAGATGCAATATGATATATGTTCTTTTAAAACAATGATTTGGTTATCGTGGTTGTATTTCCGAAATTCTTCGAATTCTTGCTTTCAATTATGCAATTTTGTTTACCAGAATTGAACATTAACTGCTGAGTTTCTTTATTCATATTTTTAAACCGCATTATGGATATTGCCAAATACTAGCATTCTCCTAATCTTTCATTTGAGTGTGTAGTTTTTTAAATGGTGCCAGGGATAAGAATTTTGATATTTTTGACAGTTAATTCATACATAGCTTATGTCAGTCACAACTGTATTCAAAAGATAATAAATTAATGAATTATGAATTGTTTTACCTTCTAAAGCTAGGTACCTACCCCCTTCCTGGCTCCGTGCCTACCAAAAGATGGAACTAAATATTTTGAACTAAACAACAGAGTATCCATGTTACAAGCTATTTGCATGAATATACAGTACTGTAATCATTACTAATAAGGAAAATATTTGTATTCGGGCAAATATTACTTAAATTTTAGCAATAGAGACATGAAATGCTTCTCAATGCGCTTGTGGGTGTTGTTTTTAAAACATTTTGTTAACTTCCACGAGATATTAACAGTTCATAATGTAGGCCAACCGTAGTTCAGCTATCTTTGCTACAAATAATACAGATACCTCAACCACTAAAAAATAAGTGAAAACATTTTAAAAAATGTTTAATTGGGTGAAAAATACAAAATGCATAGTACAGAAATACAAGTTAGTGACTTTCTACAATTTCATGTTCTGCAAGATCATGCTGTATGCCACGCTGATAAGACTTTTAATGTTTCTTAAGCTCTCCAACATTCTGTAATGCGTTAAAAAATATTGTATTCACCGTATGTTCTCTAATATAACATTGAAAATAAATATATTTTTTCGAAAATAAGCACCAAAATTGGAGGAGGGGCTAATATGAGAGTGTCTCGCAATAAAGCGGAATAATTTTTCGAAACTGTGTCTTATTTTTCAAACAATTTTAGAAATGAATAGATATTCTTATTTCTGATATCTTGCCTGCAATTTGCTTTGGACCTGCTGACAATGAAAATTGCAGTGATAGCAGTTTTAAACAATACTGCAACGCATAAGATACATACTACATACTGAAGTTTTCCAAAATTTGCATCGACAAAACAGAGCGGGACTTAAACGCGAGGGGTACCTGCATTGGGAAAATGCGATACTTAGTTTAATCACAATAATATTTAAGTTCTTTTCTGAAGGTGTTTTAAATGCTCGCGTGAGACTTGGCGCATATGCTCCAACATCGTGGACTGACTCTCTTCCTATATTCCGGTGTGCATTCGAAACATGCTCCAGCTTCATGTTCGCGTGGTTCCAGCGCCTGCACATCAAGGACTGGCTGGGCATGCACGTCACTTTCCAGGTTCCACCGCGAGTAAAAGTTTGAGATGGTTCGGCCAGCGGATCTGTCTCCTCAAGCTGCAGGATATTACAAACGATCCATCTGCTGGGGGGTGAACGGTATCCCAAATGAGAGACTTTCCCTCTTGCATGTATCAGCCTCATCATGCGTAACAGTGACGGATCTAAGAAGGTAGCCTGAGAAAGTGACACTTGCCCCCGCGTTGGATCTAGGAATAATATATAAATACATATACTGTTAAATTACATCTCCCGTTACATATAGTCTTAAATACGTGAGTTTCATTTTCCTCCCCATGCTACATCACACTCAGTTTTTAATAGTTTCGAACGTTCAATAAATAGATAGACCACAATTTCAATTTTTGTATTATGTAAATAATAGAGTAAAATCTTGACTAAATGTTATTTGAATATTGAACAAGACCCGTGTAAACATTCAGAACATTTTAAACCATTTTTTAAGTGAAAATACGTAGCTTCATACAGGAACCCAACTTGGGACGATTTTACGAACTCATGCTACGGCGTGGGAATAACCTCCAAAAATGTAATAGTACGCCCAAACAGGTCTTAATTTGTAGATTGTAGTATAAGAATTATTATTCATGATGGCAATGTGTGTTGCAGTGTGTATGTAACGTGTTGCTTGTGCTCCTGTTGTTCCCCTAACATCTAAAACTGCGATTCCTCCCCCTAAATCTCTTTGATCAAGTCCACATATCATATTTCATTATGTAGTTTGTAGATCCGCGTCTGAAGCAAGTAAAATGTGCAAAAGATGAGATGCGGGGGAGAGCGCTTTCTTACTTTGCATAAAAGGGATAAACTACAAAAAGAAGATATACAACGTTGGAGTGGAGATCGTCGTCGTTATTATCGCACTCTAAAACTAAGGTTTTGATTAACAAAGGACACATATTTAGAGTTTCTTACAGTGTGGAGCTTGCATTAGAAAAGCACTAAGTGCTGTATCGTGAAAGATAGTATGCTCAAGAATGCATAGTCAAGTAGGTGGGAACTAAATCCGAATTCTTGCAAACATGTTGGCATGCGAATAGGGAATACATGTACACTACGTTGTTTTATAAATGCGTGTGAGTTAATTTCTTTCATTTCCACAACTCTGCGTCTATAGTCCTATCATGCGACCCCCAGTCATAAAATGATGTGGTAGAAACAATATCACTTCTTGGTGTCGTAGATCTAAACATTATGAGAGTCACCAATGGACATGGAATTATCAGAAAAATAGGTAATAACAAGAAATAGATGTATAGTTTGTTTGTAACGCACGTACCCCTTGGAAGGTAATGAATGAAATAGTGAATTTGTTATATGGAGTACTAAAAACCTCATCTATATCTGATAAATCTAGAGAAGTTGATTCAATATTCGTTTTTTTCGGAATTCTTCCCGTTAGATAGATTGATCGAAATCCACACCATGGTTTTCTGACGCGGAAGGCGTGTGCTAAATTGACGGGTCACCCCAAAATTTCATCTTCCCTATTGACTGAATTCTTGACACGGGCAATCAAAATCTATTATAAAAAATAAATTCAAAATGTCGAGTATCAGAAATGTCTATTCAAAGCATACAAACTACCTCAAGTCGAAAATCAATACAGTATCAAACTCGAAAATAATATTATTTTTTTAATAATGGTATTACGGTACTAGTTAATCTTTATTTCGTACTATTGACTTATTGACAGCATATGCCTGTCTATATTTTGGAAAATTAGTTTGTCCTGTGACGTCCACTTCCATGGAATTCTTCCTCTGGTTACTTTTGACTCGCTGAGATGGCCTCATTGCGTGTGCGATCTAAAAGTAATTTTTGGCTCTTCCCCTAAAAGCTACACGCGCGTTTTCCTCTTTTCGGCGTAAAATTCCAGTAAATAAAGACATAAAACATTCAAAGCCACGTCGAATGCTCTTTTCCCACGCTGTGGTCGCTTTTTACATGGGCGCGAGGACGCGCGTGTGCCAGTAACGGGGAGAGGGGAGGGGGGGTGTACGGGAGGGAGGACAATCGAGAGCGTTGCGCGTTCTCCGGCGTTGCGCTGCGCCGCCGTGACGACATGCTCTACATCGCGTAGCCGCCCTCTCCCCTCCTCCTTCTCCTTCCCCTCCCGCTCCCCCCACCCCCCGGCTGCCCCATGAGCGTTAGCCGGACCCAGCGCGC